CTTCACGAAAGGCTTATCACCCTCATCTACAATGTGCAGGAACACCGCAACATCCTCGGAGACCTCATCATGCCCAATGCCTTCAACCCAGTCGAAGACAACAAACAGGTTGTCGACATACTCAACCACTATTCCGTCACAATCGCTCGCATTAAACTCGTCTGCGTCACAGCCTCCACAGCTACTTCATTCGGCTATACTAATCTCAAGCATATTGGCACCGCGTTGGCTCGCCTACGTCAAGTTAACCCAGACCCTCCGTCTCCGGCAGAGTCTCTCGAGATACCCACTGTCGAGGAACTTTATGCACTTTACTCCGACGTCTCACAGAAGCAAGACTCCGCATGCACCCTCCAGTCGACTGACAAAAAGGATAAACCCGACAACGCACCGGAAAGCGATACCACGCCATCCGTACCTGCTACCATGACCGTCCGCCTGTCACGCCCCCTCCGCCACCGTCAGACCCCCATCCCAGAAGAGGTCCTATGTTGCCATTTTTGTGGTGGCCGCCACTACACTAACATGTGCACTCAAGTCGTCAACCTCACCGAGCGGTGCGTCAAAGCAGTTACTCAGGGACGTTGTCTTCGCTGTTTATATATCCACGTACCCGGATTTTGCCGTCGTTCCACTATGTGCCGCGTATGCCATGACCCTAATCATCATCCTGCCTTATGCCCTTCCAGTGAAAATGTGATAAAAGATGTTCATAAGGACGTGGAGGCGTTCTTCGACACAATGTGGACACTTTACCGAAACTTTCACTCAAAGCATTGACTGCCACACCGCCCCTGGGTATCCCTGGGAACACGTAAAACAACCCCCACCTCCCCACCATACAGCGTGAGAGACCGCTATAAACCCAATTGGCCCTACCACCAAACCCCTGGGAATCGACCCCCCTCAAACTCATGTAAGCGAGAAACAAAAGTCTCTCTCTCGCAAATTTTGCTTGCCCCACCATGTCCCACGTTATCCAATCTCTTCCGCTACTGGCTCGATTGTAGAGAGTTTTGTAGAGGTCAACAGCGACACTGTCTACTCCGCGTCGAGAACCTACTTGCTATGGAAAGCAACAGTCTTCCAGTATACTATTGACGTCGGCCGCACTCCACCACACCAGTTCCGCGGTCCTATTCATGGCGATGATCTTATATTTTTGTGTCGTATCCTTTATGCATTGTATTTTCTCACTTATTCAAGGTATCCGCTTCTCTCTGAAGGTATTTTTTTGTATCCCTTTCTATTTCAGGTAAAGGAATTTTTCTGAAGTATTTTGTGGTATCAGCAATTTTTCGAATGTATTATCTGTTTGTTTTCGCTCAATAACTTTGTTATTCATACCTATTTTTTTCTTATCGCTCCCATTGTAATTGGTGAGAGAGTGGCGAATGACTAAGAGCGTCTTCGCATCAGTCAAGATTAATGTCGTCCTCCTCTTCCGTTCATAACTCGATCAGCACAACTACATCTGCCGCCCCCCCGAGTGTCGTGATGACTCACGAGCTCCCTCTAGTCGACACAATGGCCGCGCATGCAACAAGTCGCGGGTATCGATCGATCGATCGACGTCGCAACCATTCAAACCAACGCGCGCACGTCTCCCGCGCAACAACGCCATATAAAAGAGGCCCGCGGACCCGGGAAGGGAGAGGGGAGAGAGCTCCGGCGGGAGCTACATTCGCACTCACTGTTCGACTCATGTTTTGCCTCCAAGTCGTTGCGCCGAGACCATTCGTCTGTTCATCGTGATTAGCTCCTTATTCTCGTTCTCGATATTTCTGGGTATTCTCGTCCTCTATGTTTACCACGTGAACTGTCGTGAACTATTGAATGATGGATATGAAGCAATTTTGAACACTCTTTTGTCGTGTGTCTCCTAACGGGGGAAAATTCCCTGATTGCCGTATAAAGGTGATTGCAAGCACGACAGCGTCGCTAAAAATCAGGCGAGGTTTGTGCCGCATGACGACTGAGACTTGGCATGCGAACCGAGATTCTATAATACCGATTCACCGTTTTCAAAAGTGGACGGGGCCTCTTCGGAGCTTCACACAACTTAAAAATATAAAATATTTGAAAAGTATCAAAATTTCGCAAAAAGCCGCAAAAGTAGGCGTGGCTAAGAGGGCCGAGCATATTGTGCCAGTGCATGAATGCTCGTCTACGAGAACCTTCGTTGCATGAACAGTGAGAGCGGAAACAACGACGTTGAAAAAATGTTGTGAAAGATCGAAGTTCGCATCAAATCGTTACAAGTGGGCGGAGTTGCTCATCCGCCGATGTGCAGCCGTTTTCAGCTAGTGCGTATGCACGAAATAACAGAGGTGCAAAAAAGCCATAAAAGCAGAAATTGTAAAATAAAATTCGAAAAACCACGTTCACGCTGAAAGTCTGATTTTGGTTTGAAAAGTCGTGCATTTGAAGTGGAAATGGTATATACATGCATACACAAAAATGCATGTTTGCCAAAAAGCTCAGTATCCCATTGCAAACGTGTGAACATTTCCTCATGAAAAGGAAAGGAATTACTAGGAATCCCTCTGAGAAGCTTCTGAACAACAGTGTGGAATATCCGATAGCGTAAATTTCAATGTGAGACATTATTCACTGGAAAGATGCAGGAGCGGTCAGTGAACTACACTCGACTGTTTCCTAACCTCCTAGTATTATTTGAGGCTTGAAGGCAATTGGCACGATAAATCCCCCAAGACGACTAGGATCAATACTCCTGGCAGGATAGAATTCCGCGACCCTGAGCAGGCGCTGCATAATGCCTTTTCCGAGGGAGGTGCCCTTATAAGGGCCCTATCAAGCCACAACTTTACGTCCCAAACGCCCGCCACGCCCGCCCGCCCACAAATGGACGACCGTTCCTGACGCTCGTATTCATTCATTTGCTAAGCAAATTATGAAGCGAAGGGATTGGTATGAAGCGGCGTGATGCTGCATGCATACATGGGTACACATATGCAGCCGTATCTTCGGTAGCGGTGATTGGTAAGATGCCTACGGGAAACTCGTCCGAAATCGATTTACAAGTCACTGAGAACGGAGGCTTTTTCTTCGCAGGATTTTGACCGTTTCACTCCGTTCTTTCGCCATTTCCCCACTATACAGCGCCCTACTAGCATTTTAGGCTAAGTAGGAAACCATCGTGCCAACTGTCTTTGAGTGAGTGTTTTCAGAACGATGTTAAGAGGGACTAGCGCATTATACGGAGCGACATTAACGGTAATCGTACTAAATATAATTCGCTAAGTTTGTCTGTTGGTAGTGTTTGTGTGTGTGTGTTTGCTGACGAAATTCATAACTTTCTTCAAAATAGCAATAAATCGTTCAAACTTATAAGTGATCTAGGGGGTGGCAGGAACGCCATTGGTGGGTGGCAGGAAGTGATAACAGTTGATAAGATACCATAAGGGGCCTTATAAAGGCAAAGTCAGCAAATTCATAACAGCGTTGGCTCCAAGAAGTAAGATAGGGGCAGGATGGGAACATTATTGGTGGGTGGCAGGACGTGATAACAGCTGATAAGATACCATAAAGAGCCTTAGAAGGGAAGGGTCACCAACTTCGTAGCGCGGGTCATAGCAGCGGCGGAACGTTGGTTCCAAGAAGTAGGACAGGGGGCAGGATGGGAACATTATTGGTGGGTGGCGGGACGTGATAATAGCTGATAAGATACCGTATAGTTCTTAGAAGGGGATCACCAATTTCAAGACTCGCTTCAGAGAACGTTGGTTCCAAGAAGTAGGATGGGGGGAGGGACAGAAATTGTTGGTGGGTAGCAGGAATTGATAACAGCTGATAACATATCATAAAGCCCTAGAAAGGGACTAAATTCAAGTGCGCCGCAGCGACGGTAGTACGTTGACTGCAAGCGGTGAAATAGGAGGTAGGATGGGAACGGTGGGTCAGAGAGGAAGCTCCCAAATCTATGGGCAAATACTTAGTGAGCCAAATGTTTCTATTCCTCAGCGATAGTCGAAATTGATTCGACCGCTAAACGCTCGAGTTTCACCCAAAAGTAAAAGCCTAAAGATGTTTTCCAGTGAGGAATGATAAGAACCACCAGCAAACGGATACGTGAAAGCTGCTCAACGGAAGCGCTAGGATATGAGGAGCTTTCACTAAGATCCCGATTACCGAAATTCTTTCAACCGCTAAGCTTTTCTACTTCCAACAAATGTTGGGTGTTTTTATAAATGTGATAAGCACTAGACATTGGCAAATGCTTATCAAAGGTGAAATATGATGAAATGGGCCGCCGTTTGAAACATGGGAATTAGGCCACGTGTTAGTGGTCTGCACGAAAATCCTGTCAGTGATCAATACCATAGGTTTGATCATGCGCGCGGTAGTGCGCGTCAGCCAAACTGGTAAGAAATAAGTTCTTTATTGAGATTAATGAACATATCGAATGATATCGGAGTGAATGTTTTGGATGATGTCGGAATTGTTCTAGTTACAACATGTGTTCGCTGTAACCGCTGTTCGAATCCTCGTCTACGAACACCGGTCTTTCCAGAAACTGCGCGCTTTCCATGAAAGCTTGTGTTACAGTGGCTTCGTCGTCGCGTTGTTCGCTGCTCTCATCCTCCTCTTCGATGACGCCAACACTTTGAGGCATTGCGAATCGAACACGGTATATCGCATCTTCTTTCAGGACGGCTTGTAGACTTTGACTGAAAGAAGTGAAAATGAGGCACTGACAGCACATGTGAATGGAATAAATCAAAGCACAAGGAGGCGAATACGGTGAGCTGTGCCCCAAAATATAGCCCATTGTGGATGGCGATATTAGTTCTTGACATTGCGCCATATAGAACTTCCTGCCTGAGCCAAGCAAGAGATCGTCCAGACAACATTACCTCGACTTTCTCGACTGAGCATCTTTCATTGATTTAAGCTATCACCCCCAGTTCCTGGAGATAAACTCCATATCCCTGAGATGGAGAGTCCGTGGCTAAGTACTTTATACAAACAAGGCGACAGGGTATGCAGCTTCAGAACTTTACTAACATGACTTTCCCCGTACGAAATAGGATAACATTTGATCCAATGGGAATAGCCCACAAACGAACGAACGAAATATCTCATCGTACGCCATTTTTAAGTAGAGTGAACAGCCACGCCCACTCGCTGGGATAAGGAGTGTAAGTGCGCGACGGTTGTGGTAACTCCGCACGCGACGATCAACGACGAACTCTACGCTCACATCCACGAACCGTCGTTTTCATCTGCCAGGTGGAATGCCCCGCAGCTGCAATAGCGTGACGCTTTCTACGCTCAGAAGAGCACGGAAATTGAGCTGGAAAGTAGTGATACTCGGTACCGGCTCATACTCCTCCCACACTATCCTCAAGGTTCAGCACATGCAGCGATTCGGAGATCCCGCAGCGAAATATGCACTAGGCGCTACAGAATATAGGAAGTGCAGGGGAGAAGACAAGTAGCTTGACTATGGGCAGTCTAGCACTGCGGTAGCGCCGGCAGAGTACCGAACGGTGCTAGGACGAGGCAGGGTCCAGCTCCGCGATGACGCGCTGTAACGCTCCGTGATCAGGCAACACCTACCATCGTGTTCCCCATACTCTCTCGAAACACAGGCGGCCTGCGCCCATCGATTGAGCGTTCGCAGACGCGAATCGACCAGCGCGTTCATAGCTTTGGAGCGCTGTTGCGAACATAAGGGTATGTGGCAAGAGAATCGTGATTCGCCGCGCCAGTGGGCTCGCGTGCGACGTCGCGCCTGCTAATGACGACGATTTTAGGTGGTATTGGTCGAGAATAGGCAATGTATGACCAGAAATAGACATGAGTATCTACCTTGCTTGAGTATACATGAAATGCGATGCTTCAATCGAAAGGGTTGTGCAAATTGAGGAAACGTCGCGCCCATTGCCGCACGCGACTAAGAGGCAGTTTACGATTCTCTTGCCCGTCTCCCAAACATAGCGTGTCGACAAGCATTACAGCGTTAAGGCGTGTTGGCGCGCGTCATTGCGAAGTCTGAACGCTGTGCAAAACTACCTAGAGCCTCTTTTCGTGCACTTTTGTAGGACAAAGTGGCACTCTGCATCTGCAGCTCACCCCACCCACGGCTAGGGACAGGATCCGTTGAGATGAGTGTATGCCTTGTCTCTAATCCACCAGCTGTGCCTTCCATTCGGAGAGTAACTACTTGTTTTTCGACAGCATTATTCGAGTGGCGTAGCAATCTCACAAAAAGAGCACTTACGGTCGCACATTGTAGTTCCTGTTGTCAATTTCAGAGTTTTCCATTTCGAGCTTACTGTAGGCAACGGCCCGTGTAATGTGCTTCGTAACTTTTCGTAATGTTGAATCCTTGCGGACTTTGGAACGTCTGAATTCATCGAACTTTCTCGAGGACCACTCTAGACGTATTGAAAAACTCACGAATGCACCCAGGTAGTGAGAATATGGAAGAGATGTGAGCGGAAGGTGGTGCTCATTGTGAGCATGAGCGGAAATGGCAGCGAATAGGCAAATCCATATAATATCAACTGCAATTTTGCATTCGATCACTACACGGTTGTTCACGTAAGCCTTATACACATGATTCACCTTTGTTGCATCATCGATAGTGCACTGCCGCACTGCACAGAATGTGCTCGGTTGATGGACGACAGACTGGGAAGTGATCAGCGCCAGAAGCATTGGACGCAGATTGGCGAACAGTGGGGCGTGCTTGGCCGCATAAGGAGAGCCAAGTTGTGGGAGTAGACAGCGTTCGGATACGATGAAACACACACAGCAGAAAACTGCTAACCTAAAACAGCCAGGAATAATGAGTAGTTGACCACAAGAACTTTTGACTCTGAACTGTTTGGACGACTTGGGAAGCTGGGGACACGATAATCTGCTAGGCGTATAAGGTGGATACATCAGGCAAGAAAGGAAGACTACTTCCCAAAGTAAGCGATGTGCAGTGACATTGGCGCAAAAGGGTGCTCACCGTAACTTGAAGACAAACTGCACACTCACCTCCGTTTTTCTTGGTTCTCGCCGCGGCTGAGGGAAAATGGGTCCACAGCTCAAACAGCGTTCCACTTTTTCCCATCAAAAGGGCAGGGGAGCGAGGCTGAAGCGTATTGGTGCCTGGATGCCGTCTCCATACTCCACCTACGCTGCCGCACGGCCAGCCAGGTATCCAGCCATAGCCAAACGCGCTACCTGTCCAAACGCTCTCACTGTTCTGTAGGGTTAACTGGGCGTTCGCAATGAAACTTCGGTATCTACGCAAGTGCAGCACCCCGAGGATAGCACGGGCGAAGTACGGAGACGGCACCAGCAATAAGCACTCTCTAGCCCAGTTCTTGTGCATCTTTGTGCTGTTGACGCTGCACGCTAACGTACCTTTGGACCCATTAACCTCGTTCACGGGAACGTCCGTTCTTGTAGGTGAGTGTACAGCTCTCTTTAACTTTGCTCTAGCGAAGCTCTATGCTTAGTTCTCTGCAGATCTTATTCCCATCAACTTTCAAGTGCACATAAAGGACTACCAAGGCGACAATATGGAGCCTTTTTGACACACTCTCCTTTTTGTAATTCATCGAAGCGCTTAAGTCGTAAATGCCCTTTTCTCAAGTATATGGCCAGGAAATCTATTGGTGCTTGGGTTTTGCATGCAGTCGCTTCCTAAAAGGGCGCTCGATGCGTAGCACGCTCATTAGGTCGGAATTCCCATCTCTGATCGTATGAGCGATGTTCAAGCTTTCTTAAAGGCAGTTGGCACGATAAATCCTCCAAGACGAGCAGGACTAATACGCCTGGCAGGACGGAATTCCGCGACCCTGAGCAGGCGCTGCATAATGCCTTTTCCAGGGAAGGTGCCCTTATAAGGGCGCTATCAAGCCACAACTTTACGTCCCAAACGCCCCCTTGCCCGCCTGACGCTCTAATTGATTCATTTGCTAAGCAAATTATGAAGCGAAGGGATTGGTATGAAGCGGCCGTGGCTGCATGGATATATGAGTACACATATGCAGCCGTACCTTCGGTAGCGGTTATTGGCAAGATGCCTACGGGAAACTCGTCCAAAATTGATTACTAACACAGTGAGAACGGAGGCTCTTTTTTCGCAGGATTTTGACCGTTTCACTCCGTTCTTTCGCCATTTCCCCACTACTAGCATTTTGGGCCAATCACCGTGCCAACTGCCTTCAAAGGGCATAGTCTCTTTCCCATACGAATCACAAGAGTTTAGCTGCTTTTGCGATTTAGGTTCATGGGATTGAGTTCACAAAGGTATAGTTGGAACCTTTCACTTGGGTTCACCTGGCACTCCATTTTGATGAAGCTAAAACTGACAACAGTCAAGAGAGTAAAACACGGAGCGTAATATTTTGCAGAGTATGTAATTCTCTATCAAATAGCATTAAACATATTGAGGAGTTTTCCACACAAGATTTCATGTAAAAGAAACGCCATCACTTTTGAGCCAACCCACTGTGTGCCCACTATTTTCAAGTGGGTTTTCGAGCTGGGTCTTTCTCATCAGGATACAGAACTTCCAGGGAGACGCTCAGGAGTCACCGCCGCACAGGAAGGTCACCGCGCGCCAGGTCAAAGTGGTGGTGACCAGGGGCAAGCACCAGGTCGCTAAAAAATCGCCCGGACAGTACGATAGTTTGCTCTATTGAATGACTACATCTAAAAATTCAACAGCTGTTTAAGAACGTGCATTTCATATACCAATGTATTTAGTGCATGGGCAAGCAGCATATGGCATTCAGTACAGGGCAAGGAGCACGTGAACATGTACTAACACGCTGACTCTGATAGGACGTCGCTCGCAGTGACCTTGCTGCATCACGGTAGTGACTCCTGACCAGGGTCACGTACGAATCACGGAAAATCGCCCTGTCTGTACGACCTCCCCCCGCCAATAGGAAAAGTCCATCCGGTCCGCCCCCTCGTAAACTGTCCAAGTATCTACTCGATTTCTGGGGTTGCGTGGCGTGCTGTGATAACACAGCGCTGACGATCTGCTGGACTTCCAATGAACTTCATCACAATATCATCAGAAACCGATTTTCTCCCATGCTAAAAGCTGGATTCGTGGTTTGTGGAAAGGTTTCAAA